AGATGCAGAAAAAGCATTTGATAAAATCCAGCATGTCTTTATGATAAAAACTCTCAACAAAATAGGCATAGAAGGGACTTACCTCAAAGTAATAAAAGCTGTATATGACAAACCCACAACCAGCATCATGCTGAATGAGAAAAATCGAAAACATTTCCCTTGAGAACCAGAACAAGACAAGGATGTCCACTTTCATTACGTTTATTCAGCATAGTACTAGAAGTCATAGCCAGAGCAATCAGATAAAAGAAAGAAATAAAGGGCATCCAAAAGAGTAAGTCAAAGTACTCTTGGAAAAGAGTAAGTCAAATGGTCTCTGTTTTCCAATGATATGATCGTATGCCTAGAAAACCCTAAAGACCCATTCAAAAAGCTCTTAGATCTGATAAGCAAATTCAGTAAAGTCTCAGGATACAAAATCAACGTATACGGAGCGGTAGCACTGCTATACACTAACAACAACAAAAATGAGAATCAAATGAAGAACTCAGTCCCTTTTATAACAACTGCAAAAACACACACACACACACACACACACACACAAACTCCAAAAAGCCACACACACACACATGCACACAAACCCCCCCCCGCCAAAAAAAGAAAAACCACCACCAACACAAAAAACATAGGCATATACTTAACCAAGGAGGTGAAAGAGCTCTATAAGGAAAACCACAAAACAATGCTGGAAGAAACCACAGATGACACAAACAAATGGAAACAAATTCCATGCTCAAGAACGGGAAGAATCAATATTGTGAAAATGAACATAATGCCCAAAGCAGTCTACAGATTCAACACAATTCCTATCAAAATACCATCATAATTCTTCACCGAACTAGAAAAAACAACCCTGAAATTCTTATGAAACCAAAAACAAGTCCGCATAGCCAAACCAATATTAAGCAAAAAGAGCAAATCTGAAGGCATCATATTATCCAACTTCAAATTATACTGCAAGGCTATGGTCACCCAAACAGCATAGTAATGGTATAAAAACAGGCACATAGACCAATGGAACAGTATAGAAAACCCAGAAATGAAGCCAAATTTACAGTGGACTGATCATTGACAAAGCATACAAAAACATGAATTGAGTAAAGGACACCCTATTCAATAGACGGGGCTGGGAAAACTGGCAAGCCATACGTAGAAGAATAAAACTGGATTCCCTTCTCTTGCCTTATACAAAAATAAGCTCAAAATGGATCAAAGACTTAAATCTAAAACATGAAACCATAACCAAAAACCACCTGTACCCAAAAAACTATTGAAATGTTTTTAAAAATGAAAAGAGATTGAAGGCTTTGATATCCCTAAACAAATTACATACTATATTATCGTTCTTGACACAGCTTTTTGAAATTTATTCATTCACCCTTTTTTTGGTGCTATGTGTTTTTTTTTTTAAATAGTGGTAAAATATACGTAACATAAAAATTTACCATTTCAAGCATTTAAAAATGTACAGTTCTATGACATTAGGTACATTCACATTGCTGTGCAATCATTACCACCATCCATCTCCAGAACTTTTTTATCTTTCCTAAGTAAAACGCTGTATCTCTCAACCCCCTCCCCCAGCCCCTGGAAACCACCAGTCAACTTTGGGTTTCTGCAAATCTGACTACTCTAGGAATTTCATCTAAAAAGGATAGTTTTTGGGATACAGGTGGTTGTTGGTTACATGGATAAGTTCTTTAGTGGGCTTTTCGTGCACCTGTCAGCTGAGCAGTAGATAATGTACCCAATATATAGTCCTTTATCCCTCACCCCCTCCCAACCATCCCCTCTTACCAGTCCCCAAAATCCATGTCATCATTCTTATGCTTTTGCATCTTCATAGCTTAGCTCCCACTTATACATTGAGAACATGCCATATTTGGTTGTCTATTTTTAAGTTACTTCACTTAGAATAATGGCCAGCTCTATCCAAGTTGCTGCAAAGGACATTATTTCATTCCTTTTTATGGCTGAGTTGTATTCTGTGGTGTATAAACACCACATTTTCTTTATCCATTCATTGATTGATAGGCACTTAGTTTGGTTTCATATCTTTGCAAATGACATGAATAGACAATTCTTGAAAGAAGATATATAACAGCCAACAAACATATAACAAAGTGCTTAACATCACTAATCATCAGGGAACACTACTCAGCCATAAAAAGAAACAAAATAATCTATAATGTCTTTTTTTTGTGTGTGTGAAACCGAGTCTTGCTGTGTTGTCCAGGCTGGAGTGCAATGGTGTGATCTTGGCTCACTGCAACCTCTGCCTCCTGGGTTTAAGTGATTCTCCTGCCCCAGCTTCCCAAGTAGCTGGGATTACAGGTGCCTGCCACCACATGTGGCTAATTTTTATATTTTTAGTGGAGACAGAGTTTCATCATGTTGGCCAGCTCCTCTTGAATTCTGACCTCTAGTGATCCACCTGCCTCATCTTCCCAGCCTATAATGTCTTTTGCAATTGATTTTTTAAAAAGTAAATTGCTTAAGTTCTGTAATTACCTTAGCTGTCAAGACAGTCTGGTGAAATTTGTTCTTTTGGTGAGGGAAGACCCTGGCTACTCTCTTTACCATTTGGACACATGGAATATCAGTAAAAAGTGTTTTTAGAGAGTCTGAAGAAATATATATATTTTCTATTATCCAAACTCTTCCTATCTGAACTCAGAAACTTAATTGGTTCAGATAATTTTTTAGATAAATGCTTTATATTTAAATTGTTGCTGTTTGCTATCTAAATTGATGGAACAAAACTGATTTAGTAATAAACTTTTCAACTCAAAGACAAAATCAATTTAGATAGAGAGGAATACTTGTATTGGGTAAGAAAGGAGTACTTGTGTTGGGCAATGCTGGCTTTTCTGTATGATTGACTGTTCAAAGGATGAAGATCAAACAGAAATGCCTGTTCGAATTCAAAGTACTGATGAATCTGACATTCTCTGAGAAGCTCCCCACAGGTTTGCGCTTTAGCATCCTAAAGTTTCCTGAGGACTCATTGGATTTCTAGGCTTTAGTGGGGCCGACTAGAATGGGGAACAGACTATAGTCACAACTCAGAGGGAAGGGAAGGTTTGCTCTCTTGTAATGGGCTTGTCAGAACTGAAAGTTGGGATTTCCATGGCCACCAGGTGGCTTCAGTTACATGCAAAGAAAGGTTCAAGCCCAAAGGTACTCTGAGGTTGCTTTTCACACTTCAGGAAGATAATTCCATTTGGGGAGTATTTGTTTTCTGAGGGGTAGATGGCAGAACAATTCATAAAACTTAAAGCTTTTGAGGATTATCTAGTCTTACCTTCTCATTTTACAGGTAAAGAATATTTAGGAAAAGTTCCCCAAGTTGACTCAGCTCTATAGGGGTGGCATCAGAGATAGAACTCAAGTCTTTTGAGTCCTAGTCTAGTTCTTTAGCTGTTGAACCAGTGATATCCATCTAGTTTTTATTCCTTCAAAGCCATATGACAGGGTTGCACGTCACTGACTATACCTGAGCCCTGGAGACATGTATATCGCAATGTTGTGTTTAAGGCAGGTGGTGAAGTAGATGCTGGTGGCCATCTTATGGGCAGAACTGAGCAATGGTAGTATCTACTTCCAACCCAGTGGAGCTTTTAGATTAATGAAATCTACCTGCCATGATCCACAGTTGGGGAGTTTTAAACATTTTTGTTCATTCTGAATAAGCCTAGACTCTTACATGCTTCATCTATTGTATAGCTTATGTCCTTTTCTCTTCTTCAGATGAATAGCAACATTTTAAAATCTTCTTTTTTCTCACAATTTTTCTATTTTTGTTTACTTTTGGAGACAAGGTCTTGCCGTGTTGCCCAAGCTGGATTCACACTCCTGGGCTTAAGTGATTCTTTGCCTCATCAAGTAGCTGGGAGTACAGACATCTGCTACTGTGCCCAATTTATTATTTTTGATTAATATCTAACCTTTAGAACAGAGTCAAAAATACTTTAAAAAATCAAAAGTTTCTGTAGAAAACATAACAAACAAAAGTGAGTCAAACAATTCCATCATGTGTGAACTCAAAAATGGCTTATGACGATGTTGAATTTTTTTGTTTCTCTGGCAAACTTAGGGAGGAAGAAAATACAGTATTCATCGCAGCTGCTTTTTATGACATGTTCACAAAAACTTACAACTTAAAAAAATGGTATGCTAAAATTATCTGTAATTTATAGATTATGGCTAGTTTCTAGAGTAAAACAGACCTAAAGGAGCCTAAGAGAAAAAGAAGAGTGAAATAATGGGAGGAAAAGAAATAATTGGGATGAAAAGAGTGATAAAGAAAGAGCTGGTAAGTGGGACAACTGGCTGCTTCTAGCTAAAAGTGAAGAGAAAGAGAGAACAAACTAGAGGGCCACTTGAGTAGGAGATCATGTGAAGGAAGCTGTGATGGGTGGGCCTGGGAGAGGGCAAACTTGAATCTTAAGGATAGAGAGAGGGAAAAGGATGAGGAAAGATTGGGGTGGGGGCACTTTTTTTTGCAAGACCTCCCGTGGCTTCCCATACTAACTTTGTTTGCTGTTCTGTCCCCTGGATTGTCCCGTCTTCACTCCTGTGCCTCATTCCTGGTCTTAGGCCAACCAGCAGCCCAGCTGTGTCTCTTGCTCCATTGTACCTCCACAAGTGTTGTTCATATGCTTATTATGGATATGCCAAGTGGTAGCTGGAGGGAGGATTAAAAACAGTACTTAAAATGCTCTTAGAGCAGGATTTGCTTTGTAGTTAGGTCCCCAAAAGTGGTAGCTATTATAATAAGCTCTTTCCCTGCCTTAGTTGATCTTAACATTGGGAGTACTTCTATAAATACCAATCATGTTTGAAGTATTTGAATTGAGTCTTTGAAGTAAAACTCTAGAAATAGATATATTGTTATTTTCTTAATGGTGTGTTGATGCTGAATTGAGTAAAAGTGTAGTTGGTCAAGACTAAATTACTGAAATTTAAAATTATGTCTTATTTTCTTTTTCTTATTGTAGTGATTTAAAGGGAGTGATAGTCACTCTGAGTGATGATGGTCACTTGCAGTGTTCATACCTGGGGACAGATCCTTCTCTGTTCCAAGCTCCAAACGTTGAATCTCGAGAACTAAACTATGATGAACTTGATGTAGAAATGAAAGAACTGCAGAAAATCATCAAAGATGTTAACAAATCACAAGGTATCTCATGTGCAGCTTTCTATTATTTTAGTATTCATTGTGAAATTCATGTTATCTTGTATATAGATATTATTTTGTGTATTTGTTAATTTTTTCCTCTAGGCTTAATTAAAGTCATATTTGTAAAAACAGTATTGCTCTTTAGCACACAAGGTATTTATGTTACTTTACAGAAGCATGTTATGGCTTCTGAAAACATATTTAAGAAAATGTTTTTGTTATTAATGTTTCATGGACAGCACTATGTAGTTTTTTTCTTTACATGCTAAGAAAGGAAGAAGTACTTCTTTTGGTGGTAGTTTTAGGCCTTGAGAAGAGCATTAAAATTTAGAGTGGTCATTTATTAACTTCTGATATTCCTGAAATGACTTTAGGTTTTCTTTCAAAAGAAACCAAAGCACATGAGCTCCCATTTTGTTACTAAAAATATAGTCATTTGCAGCTTAGTGACATAATTTATGTTTGTAGTTAATTAACCGTCCAAATGGTGTGTAGCTTGTGGTATGCTGATTTCTAATGACTCAGAGGCTGATGATATTTTCAGTTCCTGAGTTTTGAATAACTCAATATTATCTTACTTTGGGACTCACAAGGGTATAATTTTTTTGTAAATTAAAAGGAGAAACGAAACACCAATCCTGCAGTTTGAGTTGGACATGTGAAAAGCATTAGTTTAAGTTCCCTTTTCAGGGTCAGGTAAAAGTATTTTTTTAATGAGAAAAAAATGGACTATTTTCACATAAAAGAAATGTTAAAACAAGCAGGAATAATAAAAGAAGCCGAGCATCAAAAGCCAACCAAAACAACAGAACCAGTCTTAATCCTGATCCAATCATTTTACTAGATTTATGTACTTTTGAGTCTATATTACCAACATTGTATTTCTCTGGTCCTGAGGAATTGAGATAATATATTTTAAAAATCTGAATATTAAAATAAAGTTATTATGCTTTGGTTTCACACATTCCTTTGGAAAGTTTTGAAAGTAAACCAGTGAAGCGCAGGTCTTTCAAGTACCTCCAATTACTTAAAAATCTATTTGTTGTCAGCACTGCTATGTCAAATAGTGATTAAAATTGGATATGTCATATCTCAGTATACAATTTTTTTTTTAAATTTTTGATACTAGCATTTTTTGGATTAATAGAATTATAAATCTCATTTTGTAAATTAAAATATTGGGGAAGTGTGGCATAGGCATGAAACATGAAATTTCCAGGGTTCATTAAATAATATAGCTTTCACTCCAAATTTCGTCTTGATATTGTGCCCTTTCCATAGTAATGTGCCAGTGATATTTTGATTAACATTAATTGAATGTGAAATTTCTCAGAAAATCCCTTACAGTTAAAAGTTATTTCTTGGTGGTTATAGTGATGAACTTGGATGAGAAGGTTTAGGCTATTTTACTTGTTATTACCTTGATCCCTTCAGTATATCTTGAAATAACTGCTAATTAAATTAAGGATACCCCTACAGACTTAGGTGTAAAGTGCCATGATTTACATAACCTCAATTCTTAATTAATGTTTGAAGTTCCTTGCCCCTTCTATGCCATTGCCATTTAGTTTTATTTCTGAGAAAGAAACAAAGGGAAACTTTTAAAACTGAGAGGTATTTAAAACATTTTATTTCTAGATGTGAAAAAAAATTAGTGTCTTATACCCTTATAAAACCATGGTATGTTTGTTTATTAAAATATCTGTAATTATATAAGAGCACAAAAATTATATAAGAGCACAAAATTTATTACAGTTTTAGCTTCTTTTTATTATAAGAATTTAAAATGCTGAACTTTGTGATGACCCCCATCATTCATTTAAATGTCACTTATTTCAGTATAGGGGCTTTAACTTACAAAAAATTTTCATAGTCTTGCAGGTTATGTTCAGTACTTAAAGCTTTTAAAAGTGTTTTCAAAGGAAGAGTTGCAGCAAAATTTAAAGCCAGTTTAAAGAGTACATTTTGTTGTACACATGGTGTATATTATCTACTATAATAAAAGTGTTTTTGAAGCTGATTTTATGTGTGTAAGTTATAAGAGGAATGTATGTTGTAAGCATGAAATCATAGTAATAATTTCTGTATGGCTCATAGATTCTGAAGCTTTTTATACTCAACTCATTAGTGTGAATCCTGCCTAGTATTTTTGTTACCAGTAGTCAACAACATCTACTGGTAGGAACTTTCAAAGACAGAATTTTATTTATGATTTAGATAGTTGATCATGTTGTCTACCCGGTGTGAGTATGAGGGACTGGGTGCAACATTGAGATAGGTGCCCATACATCTGTGTCTTCAGAAAGGGACAGACAGCAGTAAGAGGTAGGGGTATAAATGAAAGTCTGCACCCTGCTTGAAATGTCCAGCATAACCACTGATGTTATCACTGAATAGTAGAATCATTTGTATTTTGTGACACTGTTCACTTAAAATTCTGTCTGGCTACATGTCACAGAATACCCAAATAAGATAGAGGTTTCTTTCTTTCTCTTGTAAAAAAAGCCCAGTGATGGGCAGTCCAGGGTTGGCTTGGCAGTTCCACAGTCATCAGGGACTCTGATTCCTTCTATCTCAGGGTCATATATTGGTCCAGCATGACTTTTGGAACTCCTGCTCTCACATCTGCTGCTGAGTCAGCCCCCTTAAGGAGCTTTCTTGGAAGCCACACCCTGAATGGCTCCTACTCATGTCTCACTAGCCGCTCCAAGCTGCAAAACTGGCTGGGAAATTACGTGATTTAGTTGAGTACTTTGTTGCTTAGAATAAAATTGGGCTTTAAGTAAAGAGGAATCAAAGAGCAGTTATTGGGATGGGCAATGAACAGCCATTTGTACTCTCATTAACTTATGGAAATTTCCATTCCAAATCATGCAGTTTGGTGGGAATGCCTGATACCAGTTGTAGGCAATTCCTTTTTTTGTGAGACAGCTGATTCGTGTGGCATCATCCAGGTGCTTTCTATATTTTTAGTCAGCCATCCTCAGAGTGTGAGAGATGTTTCCTCTCAGGGTCACAGGGTGATCTCAGCAATTCTAGGTGTTATGTTCAGAGATGATTTTCAGGGAAGAATCATCAGGCTGTTTCTCCCGAGGCTCCCTCTTATTAGGAAGGAATAACTTTCCCAGAAGCATGTGCCAGCTCTCTCCATTCCCAGCTTTCCTTACCTTCCATCTGCCAGGATTAGGTCCCACGTTCATTCCTAAAACAACAAATGGTCAGTGGAAGGAAATCACCGTGACTGGATTTGACCCTGGTGTCTCTGAGATGAAGGTGAATAGCTCAATAAAATTAAGGCTCCAATATAAAGAGGGAAGAATGGATGTTGATTAGGCAGCCAGTAGTTCAATATATTATATATATATATATATATATATATATATATATATATATATACATGTATCACATATATATAAGTGACATATATGTAATTTTAAAATGTTTTTTGTTTAAAATCTTTGTGGTTGATACTGTGAATAAGTATCTCATTATGCAATATAAATATGTTTAAAATTATGAATTAATTTACATTCCCACCAAAGATGTGAAAGCATTCCTATTTCTCCACATCCTCTCCAGCATCTGTTGTCTCCAGATTTTTTAATATCGCCATTCTAACTGGCGTGAGGTGGTATCTCAATGTGGTTTTAATTTGCATTTCTCTAATGACCAGTGATGATGAGCTTTTTTTCATATGTTTGTTGGCTGCATAAATGTCTTTGAAAAGTGTCTGTTCATATCCTTTGCGCACTTTTTGATGAGGTTGTTTTTTCTTGTAAATTTAAAAAATCTTTGTGGTTGGTACTATGAATGAGTATCTCATTATGCAATTTAAATATGTTTAAAATTATGAAAATAACATGTATATGATAAAAATAATTCAACCAGTACTAAAAGGATAAATAATGAAAGGCGAATCTTTGTTCAACCCAAGATCCTAGTTACACTCCATAAAGGCAATTCTTATCAAGAGTTTTTGTAACAAGCAGTGGGGAAAGGATTCCCTATTTAATAAATGGTGTTGGGAAAACTAGCTAGTCATCTGCGGAAAGCTGAAACTGGATCCCTTCCTTACACCTTATACAAAAATTAACTCTAGATAGATCAAAGATTTAAACATGAGGCCTAATGCCATAAAAACTCTGGAAGAAAACCTAGGCAATACCATTCAGGACGTAGACATGGGCAAGAACTTCATGACTAAAACACCAAAAGCAATGACAACAAAAGCCAAAATAGACAAGTGGGATCTAATTAAACTTAAGAGCTTCTGCACAGCAAAATAAACTATCAGTAGAGTGAACCGGCAACCAACAGAATGGGAAAAAAATTTTATAATCTACCAATCTGATAAAGGGCTAATATCCAGAATCTACAGAGAATGTAAACAAATTTACAAGAAAAAACAACCCCATCAAAAAGCGGGCAAAGGATATGAACAGACACTTTTCAAAGACATTTATGCAGCCAACTAACATGAAAAAAAGCTCATCATCACTGGTCATTAGAGAAATGCAAATTAAAACTACATTGAGATACCACCTCATGCCAGCTAGAATGGCGATATTAAAAAAATCTGGAGACAACAGATGCTGGAGAGGATGTGGAGAAATAGGAACACTTTTACACTGTTGGTTGGAGTTTAAATTAATTCAACCATTGTGGAAGACAATGTGGCGATTCCTCAAGGATCTAGAAATAGAAATACCATTTGACCCAGCAATCCCATTACTGAGTATATACCCAAAGGATTATAAATCATTCTTTTATAAAAACACATGCACACATATGTTTATTGCAGCACTGTTCACAATAGCAAAGACTTGGAACTGACCCAAATGCCCATCAAGGATAGGCTGGATAAAGAAAATGTGACACATATATACCATGGAATACTATGCAGCCATAAAAAAGGATGAGTTCACGTTCTTTGCAGGGACGTGGGTGAAACTGGAAACCATCATTCTCAGCACACTGACACAATGACAGAAAACCAAACACCACATGTTCTCACTCATAAGTGGGTATTGAATAATGAGAACACACAGGCATAGGGAGGGGAACATCACACACTGTGGCCTGGGGGTTAGGGGGCTAGAGGAGGAATAGCACGGGGTAGGGAGATTGGGGAGGAATAGCATTAGGAGAAATACCTAATGTAGGTGACGGGGCAATGGATGCAGCAAACCACTACCAAGGGATGTGTATACCTGTGTAACAAACCTACATGAGATGCACATGTATCCCAGAACTTAAAATATAATAAATACAAAAAAATAGTTTTCGTATATTCTTCTAGAAAATATTCATGTTTATGTAATTGTTTTGACACAAATATATGCATATTAGACACATTGTATTACATCTTGCTTTTTAAAACTTAACAGATAAATTTTGCAGTTTTAAAATATCAGTATGTAAAAATGGATAGCACTCCTGTTTACAACTTTGGGACATTGCATAGTACAGATATACCATAATTTATGTAACAGTTAGCCTGTTAATAGATATATAGATATTTAGATTCTTTTCATTTCTGAAAAAGTAACTACTAACATTAGAGACCTCCTTGGGCATGCTTATGGGTCTTAGATACATTCTTGTGAGTAGAATTAAGTCATATGATATGTACATTTTACATTTTGATTGTTATAGCCAACTTACCTTCAAAAGGGCTGTACTAATTTGGGCTTCCACTAGTAGTTAAAGAGAGGGCATTGAAATTCCCAATGCTGGTCAGTCAATGGCTCACATCTTAGCTAATATCTGCAGAAGGAGACAATTTTTTTTTACTGTATTATAGAGGTAAAGAATTAGCATCAAGCTTCTAATACTGTAATATATTAGTTTTATCAACTTGTGGGTATGTTTATGGGGCTGTTTTTATTTATGGTATAGACACACCTTTAAAGAAAAACTATAGACAGAAGGTTTTACTTTATGATTAAATGCCTTTTCTTTTTTTTAAATCACAGGTGTTTGGCCCATGACTGAGAGAGAAGATGACTTGAACGTTTCTGTTGTGGTTTCTTCTAACTTTGATTCAGTTTCTGTAGGTGTACTTGCAGATTTTAAAGGGGTTTATAATAGTAGTAGATTCTGATGAACTAGGATCAAAATGTGTTGATTTAAATTTTGGTCCTTCAGGTAGAAACTTCAGGGAGGATAACGAATTGTAGGCCTTGTTACTTTCTAGATAAAAACATTAGTAGACCCTTAGTGCCAGTAAGGAGCTCCTTGAGCAGGATTTCTGTTTTAAAAAGAAGTGGGATTGTGGGGGAAGAGAGCAGTAGAAGGGCTTCTTGCCCTAGTTCTAATCCTACTTAAAAAAAGTTTTTTTTAGCTTCCTTAGTTCCATAGCTTTGACCTAATATTAATGTAGCTGAATAATACTGACCCTACCAGATTTTTGTTGAAGGTTCAATGAGATAATGTTTGTGAGTGGCCTAGTTCAAAGTTCGATGATTTCTAGTCTTTAATACTTGGTGGTGGTGGTGGTGGTGGTGGTGGTAGGGTAGTTTAAGAGTATATAGTTGGTTCAAGAATTATTTTTTCCCTTATTTCTATCTGTGTGACACAAAGCAAGGTACTTAATTTTCTTAGTCTCAATTTTTTCATCTGCAAAATGGAAATAATAATAGAATCTACTTTGTTGATTGTTATGATAATTGTTATGATTGTCATTTTCATCTAATTACATTTTACTTTCAGTATTATAATAATCGTCACCATCACCATCACCATCATCACTATCATTATCACTATGTCCATGAGTTGTCTTGTTCATTGCTGTATAGTGGTTGCCAAATAATGGGTGCTCGATATGTATTTGCTCTATGAATGAGTGAATTAATACAACTGAGAAACAGAAAGGATGGAAGGAGGACTGTTCTTGATTATATTACTTCATCTCCTGACTTAGTTTTCTATAGGTACTTGTTAGGATATGATTGCTTATGTCTCACTGACTGCAGTTTATCTGTGTTTCTACCGCAGATGATCAATTTAGGGAAGTGGTTGAATTCACTCATTTTACCATATTTGGAGTTTATATCATAAAATTCTGCCTGGGAAATGTCTTCATTATTTAGGTATCAGAGCATACCTTAACATGTATATCATGAGTGTCCAAAGATTAATCTTAGTATAAACAGCCAATCCAATTTGTGATAAAAATCACATTAACATTGCTATAGTGTAGTAAATTGGATACACAGAAAAGTAGGACTATATATGAAAGAAATATTCACCTAGCTGAGTCACATAGTAGAGGCACTGTTTTAAACATTGGCCATTCAGCACACACCATTTTTCATTCTATCTAAGTGTGTAGTCTAAGTGGAACATTTCTGCTTAGTTAGCTGACAAATGTACATATATTTTCTTGCTGTGGAAATGACTTTTTTTTCCCCACTCTGGGCAACTAAATTTTTCTAGGCTCTCTTCAACATAGCTATTTGGAATGAGGAATTCCCTTTCTGTTTTTTAGGAACTTTTAGTCTTTGTAGGAAAATGCCTTATGTAGTAGCCCTGTATTATAATGTATATTTCCCTGTTGGTAACCCTGAATGCTGTTTTCTCTTAAGTAAGTGTCCCTTTCCAGCTTCATTTTCCCCGCATTACTGTTTTTTCCTTCTTAAGCGATTTCTTGACAGTATCACATTCATCTCATTGGAAAACATTAGCCCTACAATTTATGTGGCTTTGGTGCATGACGTCTTCTTATAGCCATTTCTTTCTTGCTATAGCTTTATGTTCCCAAAGGACTGGTTTCCTTGAAGTATCTAGGTGTTTAGTTGTGGATTGAAAGGAGCACGAAACAGGAGATCTTGATTTCTTTTCTAGATCTATGGATAGCTAACTGTAAAATATTTCCTGGATTTTAGGTAATATTAGAGCACAAAGCCTGGATTAATATTTTACTTTGAATCACTATTATGAAAGCATACATCTCAAAAAAGTAATATCATTTATATTATAAGGGAGTCTTTCTTAGAGGACATAAGCATTACTATCCCATCTTCCTGATTGAGAAGCTGGATCATAGTTCAAATATTGTTTCCTGTGGAGCCATAAGTAGAATATGAATCCCTCAACTCTGAATTCTGCGATGCCCATTATATTATAGGATCCCATTGCTTAGAAGTGGTTTAGTTTTTCTTAGTTAAAAAATATTTCAAGTAAAACAGCACAATGGATATTCATTGGTTGGATAGAGATATAATTTTAATCCCAAGAATTCATATGGGTATTATTAGAAAGCATGTTACCCCTTAGTCTTATTCTATCTTAGAGCATTTTTCTGTATCAATGTATTACTCTAAAAAATAAGCTCTAAGTGACAAGGGAAGTGTTTTATATATTACATTATACTATGTATTCTTTAAGAGGTAGGAGCAGGTAATGCAAGCTGACACTCAAAGAATGCCTATTGAATTAGTTTATGATATGCACTGGTTAAAAAAAAAGTATACTTTCATGTTGCATTTCTTTTCTTTTTTCCTTTTTATTTTTTGAGACAGAGTCTCACTCTTTTACCCAGGCTGGAGTGAAGTGACATGATCTCCGCTCACTGCAACCTCTGCCTCCCAGGTTCAAGTGATTCTCCTGCCTCAGCCTCCTGAGTAGCTGGGATTACAGGCGCCCGCCACCATGCCCAACTAATTTTTGTATTTTTAGTATAAACAGGGTTTCACCATGTTGGCCAGGCTGGTCTTGAACTTCTGACCTCAGGTGATCCACTCACCTGGCCCTCCTGTAGTACTAGGATTACAGGCATGAGCCACTGCACACGGCCCACTTCTGTTTTCTAGGTGTAAGGCCACTCAATCTTTATATCATTAGTTGCATGTCTTAGATACATGTTATTAATCAGAATGACACATATCTTCCGAAAGGTGAAAATACAAGGATCTAAAAGAATGGCATAATATTTTCTGGGACATACAGGGAGGTCTTCTTCTGTAACATAAATAACAAGCTAATAGAATTAATACTTTAAATATTTAAGCAAATTTGAGAATTGAGTGGTTTGACAAAATATGTGACATTTTCTTTCCTTTTTAGGGGATGAGTTTTTTAATATCAGCTTATGACTTTCTAGATGAAGGCATCAAAAAAGCCACATTTTTTCTTTTGGTCTGTCATTAGAGTGATAAATCCTTTATAGTTCCCTATTTTGGTAGTGGGAAGTATACATTGCACCCACTGTGTTCACTCATTGCTGTGTAATATTGAAATCATTCTTTCTCGCCTTCTCAATTTTGTGTTTACAGCAAGCAACTGATGTTGAGGTGGGAACTGACCTTGTCCCTTCTGTCACAGTGAAGGTATTGTACCAGATTTTATTCTGTAATGTACAAACAATATTATATATTTTATCACATCTGTTACTGTTGACAACTTGTAAGTAGCTTACAGAAATGTAAAATAAACACTTGGCATTTGTAGATATTTCCCCAGCCTTGAGTAGTGAATAGAAAACCTTTACTGTTACTTGGAAATATAAAACTGATAACTGCATTTATATCAATATGTATATAATATAAACAATTATTATGAAGTACTGTTATTATTTAAATGTGTAGCATGATCCAGACTTTTTTCTTTGGAAATAAAGTTAACATTTTAAATCTGCTAAAGGAATTGTGTCATTAGCATTCATAATAGACCAATTAATTGATTGTAGCATCATCATACATAATATACTGTGAACTGATATTGGAGAAGCACAGGGATGCTAATATCTTTTTTCGACCTATGATTATGTGTGTGTTTGAAAAGAATTCCCACCCATCTGTCTGTCATAGCTTTAAGTGAATGTATTTACAGCAAGAAAATATTAAATGAAGATGCCACAAAGTTAGAGTAGTGACAATTGGTAGTCCTGGAAAAATAGAATACTAAGGATGTGGTTTTGGTTAAGAATTTTAGTCCTGTCATTGTAGAATTTTAGAACTAGAATTTAAATGTAGAACCCTCTTAAAGCATTTAGTTTAAAATATGGTAATCAGTCAGCACATTATTAAGCTGAAAATATTTATCACTGCCCAAACCTTGGAAGCAAGAGAAGGTTGTGGATTTTGGCAATTCACTTAGTCAAAACTTGGATGGGGCTTTATATTTTCTTAGATTATGGGTTGCTGTCCTTGGAGGAGCTTGACAGGGCACCAAGCTTTACCAATTGTGTTCGCTTACACTAGAGCCAGCGGGTGGCCCAAGTGTGGAGATCTTTGGTCGAACTTGAAGGAAGCTGAATCTTACAACAGTTTCCTGAGCTAAGTTTTTTGGATGCTTGCCACTGGAAACAAGGGTGGTCTTTCCCCAGTATCCTTTCCCCCTTTCCCCCAATCCAATCAAAGGCTGTATCTCATTAATGCTTCTGAATCTGAAAAGGCATTAGTGGCAAGAAATCAAACACTTAAGAAAAAGAAATAACTGTAGAGTTCCAGGAATGATCTGTACTTTTGTATAGGGACACCTCTTTTATATCTACCTACTGATAACATTCAGACACATACATGTAATAATTTAGGAGTGCACTGTTTATTGCAAAAATAGATCTTGTGCCTTATCTAGATAACATTGCTCATGTTAATTGTATCCCCCACCAACCAGGAGTTAGCACCATCAGTAAACATACCTTTCCCTCCTGTGTAGTTCTTAAGCTTTTATGTGTAGTAGCCACCTTAAAATGATGACATGACACTACTGGAAAATTCTCCTTCATTCGTAGAACTTGCTATATTTGAGAATACCTAAGTCATAACTCTCTTTCTCATTGCCATTATAAAAGCAGGAGAAAGAATGCAACAGGCAAGGTTTGCAGAAAATTGGCGGGACCTACACAGCAGACACAATGACTTCCTGATCCTGTCTGACAGTTTCTATACAAATTTCTACTATAAATCTCTCCTTATGGCCTTTTATAACAACAGCAGCCAAGATATATAACCATGCAGGTTTCCATCATAATAAATCCTGTTAATTGAGAAAATTTTTCCATCCGTTCCGAGTGAATGAAGATGTGGCTACCTTGAGTATGTGTGCATGACGCATTGACCATCTATTCCAGGCAACTAGGCAGAGTGGTTGTTCATACCTGGCCTTTGGAGTCATATTTATATATCTAGGATAAAAATTTGGTATTATATTTCCTAAGGATTATATTTCCTAAGAGGCAGAAAATAGCATGAAAAATTCTTGTATTAATGTTTTATATATTCTCCTTAATATTCTATAATTATTTTCCTCTTAAAATATGAGGCTTATGATCTAGCCAAGTCTTTAACTCTTTTTTGGCTCAAACACAACTATTCTTTGTTACTGTTGTTATTTTCATTACCTATCTCCTTGATTTGTATTTTGAAAGGGCCTACCTCATGTTTGGGGTTCAATAAATAAGTGCATGAGAGCTATCATGATTGTTCATCTAAACCAAATGCAAATCCTTCTTGTTACAATGTAAAATTCTGTGATTATTGTCTAAGTAGACATCATTATGCCAGGAAAAGTCAGACTGCTCTTTTTGAAAATGGCTTATTACTACTTAAAGGAATTTTCATTTTTACTTTTAAAACTGAGCTCTCATGAGACTTTCCTGGTCACTATTTTCAACTCTCTAGTTGGATTGATGGCCTTGCACATGTTATTTACCTTCTCTGAACTTCTATTTTGTAAACTGTAGAATGGTGATACTTTTTTATTTGCAAAGTTAGAAATTCTGAGTCTTATCTACACTTGGCTAAAGGCATGGGCTCTGGATTCTGGTAGATAGCAGTTAAGTTGTGGTTCTTCCACTTAGAGTGGCCTTGGGCAAATTACTAGCATCTGTGAGCCACAGTCTTTTGTAAAATGGTTTATGATGGTATCTGTTAAACATTTTTATAAAGAGTAAATTAAATAATGTACATAAATAATTTGTTAGCATCGTTCCATGAATATAGAAACTGCTAATCATTTTTGACATTTATATTGTTCGTTTTATTTTAAAATATATGTACAGACTAGCATTATATTATTGTAATAGTAAAATACTTAAACTGTGTCCTGTTTGTTTAATGGACTAGCTAGTTGAAAGAAAGTTGTTTGTAGCACTTGCATGGTGTCTTCTTGCCATAATTACCATCAGGGTTTTACTAAAAAGTTATTGTGTTTACAATGGCCAGACATCATCAAGGAAGTTTAGTTTGTGGCATGATGATTCCCTGTGTATTCCCAGGATTTACAAAGTAAAAATTGAGGATTCATTGTTCATTGAGTTTATCCTATTTAATTGCATCAATAGTTGCCTTAAAAATTTTCCTTTGCAAGTCAAAATTTTTATGTTTAACTTATTTTTAAGTTGCACAGTGTACTCACATCACTTAAAATTAATATATTTACTGAATCTAATTATATATACATAATGTTTGAGGACCAATTGTATATTCCTGCATATATAAAAATATCCTTTTAATCAAGGAGGAGGTGATACATGCTTTTTTACTGAAGAGAAAATTTAAAACTACTTTTCTTAACAATATGAATGGTCTTTGAATTATGTTAGTTAATGTATCTGTCTCATATAACAAAGTCTAGTAACTAGACTGAACTGCTCTATAGAAAAGTTACCATATAGAATGGTGGTTTATTTATTTAATTTTTTTTCTCATGACACATCAGTTACCATGATGGAACATTTTAAAATAGCTTTATTTAGATATAATTTATATACTATATTATTCAGTTATTTAAAGTTACAATCCAAAGATTTTTAGTACAGTGTATTTACGGAAGTTTGCAACCATCACCACAATTTAATATTGGAACATTTTATCCCCCCTAAAAGAAATGCCATACCCATTACCTGTCATTCCTCATCCTCCCATTCCCCCATCCCCCCATCCCTAAGCAACTCCTAATATACTTTGTCAGTAGATTGCCTACTCTATACATTTCATATAAGTGGATCATACAATACCACAAAATGGTTCTTTGTGACTAGATTTTTTCACTTAGCGTAATATTTTTAAGGTTCACCCATGTTGTGGCATATAAATGAAATAATGCACATAAATTTGTTAACATAGTTCCTTGAGTATAGAAAACTGCTAATGGTTTTTATCATTAATACTTATAATGTATTTCATTTATTTCATTGTATATCACATTTTGTTTATCCATTCATCATGATGGGAATTTGGATTATTTCTGCTTTTTGGCTATTAGCATATTGTTGCTGTGAACCCTTTGTATAAGTTTTCAGGTGGACATATTTTTTCATTTATCTTGGTATAGAATTGTGAAGTTATATGGTAAATTTATGTTTCACCTTTAAAGAAACTGCCAGACTTTTCTTAGAGTAGCTGTACCAATTTACATTTCCACTGGCAATATATGAGGGTTCCAGTTTCTTCACATCATTGCTAACACATGTTATTGTCTGTACTTTTGATTGTTGCCATTTTATTGGGTACGTAGCAGTATCTCACTGTGGTTTTTAGTTTGTATCTCCTTCATAAGTAAGGATATGGAGCATCTTTGTAGGTACATATTGCCGATTTTTATTCTTTTGAGTAAAGTCTGTTTAACTTTTTTGCAGTTTCTACTTGATGGAATATTTTAATCTAGTACTTATTGTGTTTGTTTTGTGATTACTCATTTTTTTCCTCAGGTAATGTTTTCTAATTATTTGCTGGACATTTTTAAGTAGTTGTACTCATCTATCAATTTGAATAAAATGTAATTTTCTATTGGTAATAATTTCTGTTTCTTTAGGTCACACTACAGAATAGAGTCGTATTGCAAAAAGTCAAATTATCAGTCTGCGTACAACCGCCATTAGAATTGACTTGTGATCAGTTCACCTTTGAATTTATGAGTAAGTTTTTTGTTTTGGCTGAAAGTCTACCATGGTGTGAATTAAAAAAAAATGCTAGTTGTTCATTTAATGGCTATTATTTTGTGTCTGAATGGTGAGACTGGGATCATACCAAACTCAATGATTGTGTTGTTTTGCTTATATTTTCCCTTTTAGCATCAGCATGAACATTCAGTCAATAATTGTTGGGTCAAATTAATCTTTTAGGATTACAGATTTCTAAGTGCTGTTTGGAACTTGTTGGACCTGTAATTGTTATTTATTTATTTATTTTTGAGACAGGGTCTCACTCTCATTGGCCCAGTCTGGAGTGCAGTGATGTGATCATGGCTCACCGCAGCCTCAAGTTCTTGGGCTCAAGTGATCCTCCTGAATAGCTAGGACTACAGGCATATACCTTCTGGCTAATATTTTGTATTTTTAGTAGGGATGGGGTTTCACCGTGTTATTGATGCTGATCTTGAACTCCTGGGCTCATGCAATCTGCCTATCTTGGCCTCCCAAAGAGCAGATTACAGGCGTGAGCCACTGGGTCTGGTCTGTTCCTAAATACTAAAATTTAGAAGGCTTTCTTTATTGGCATTTTTCTAGTGATCTGTTTACTGAATCAGTAATGTTTGAAGAACAAATCTGGGATTTGGAGTTTGGCCTGAGTTTGAATCCTAGCTCATACTCACTTGATGTGTAACCTTGGATAAAAACTACTTTAGTAATCACTTGGAGCCTCAGTTATTTTAATCTGCAAAAAGGCAATAATGATATTTGTCTTACAAGGTTGATTTGAGGATTTAATTAAAAAGTAAATCTATAAAATATTTGTAATAATGCTTAAAGTAGTAGACATGTCATTAATGGCAACTCTTAGTAAGATTTCTTTGTATAGAATCTCTCACTCCCAAATTGTCATTAGTCCTGTTTACATGATCTTTGAATTACCTTTCAAGTCTTTTTTTCCTTTTTGTTTACTATAGCTTTTCTGCTAAGGCTTCTATCTCTTATTCATGAAGTCAAGAACATACCTTTCTTGTTTTGCCTCCATGTAACCAACCCATAGCTGAGTGCCTACCATTAGTGGGAACTCAATAAATCTTCGTAGAATGAATGGATAAATGACTGTGTGAAGTAACCTCATAGGTGATACCCAGCCATTGAACTTTTGCTTGCATTTCTGATTTTGTATAATTCCCATTTGTCTTTCTAAAATACATTCTGAATAATTTATTTTTTCCAGTTAAAAATCACTTATGGCTCTCTAATACAGGTTGGGGGCCAAACATGTTAACATAGATGAGCATGCACAGTCTGCCCAGTGGCTGTTATATCCCTATTCAATCCCCCTCATCCATTTTCTCCTTCAGTCTATTATGTTCTACTCATGATAAATTGCTGTTTTCCTCCCAAATTCTCTTGCCCTTTTGTGTACCGTTTTCTCTGTTCATGCTGCCTGTTCATCTAAGTAAAGAGCAGCAGTGGTGTATAATGCCAGATTCTTTGTACTTTGTTCTGGAGTCAGTCCCTAGTAGCTGTGCTACCTTAGGCAAGATTCTTCTTTTACTTTTTTTTTTTTTGAGACAGAGTCTTGCTCTGTCACCTGGACTGGAGTGCAGTGGAGAAATATTGGCGGAGTGCAGTGGAGAAATATTGGCTCACTGCAACCTCCACCTTCCAGGCGTCACCACGCCCAGCTAATTTTTTGTATTTTTAGTAGAGATGGGGTTTCATCGTGTTGGCTAGGGTGGTCTCGAAACTTCTGGCCTCACATGATCCGTCTGCCTAGGCTTCCCAAAGTGTTGGAATTACAGGTGTGAGCCACTGCGCACAGTCTTAGGCAAGCTTCTTAATCTCTCTGTATTCCAATTTTCTTATGCATAAAAAATGAGGACAATAATAGTAACAACCTCACAGGTTTGTTGTGAAGATTTAATGAGTTACTTCATGTAAAATGCTTTTGTACATGTACCTGGCATGCAGTGAGTACTTATTAAATTTTAACTATTGTTAATAACAATTGCCCCAACTTATGTAATGTATATTATTTTTTCATTGCTTATAGCACCAGATTTGACTAAAACAGTAAGCTTTTCTGTTTATCTGAAAAGAAGCTATACACCATCTGAATTGGAAGGAAATGCTGTTGTTTCTTATTCCAGACCAACAGGTAAACATACAGCCCTAATCATTCCTTTAAGTTGTTGGAGTTATGAGTTAAATGCTTACACATTTAAGATAAGAAAACATACTGTGAAATATAATTAAATGAGAACATGTCATTTTCTACTGTTAAGTAAAATTATATGTTCTCATTTTTTTTTTTTTTTTTTTTTTTTTTTGGAGACAGAGTTTCACTCTTGTTACCCAGGCTGGAGTGCAATGGCGCGATCTCGGCTCACCGCAACCTCTGCCTCCTGGGTTCAGGCAATTCTCCTGCCTCAGCCTCCTGAGTAGCTGGGATTACAGGCACGCGCCACCATGCCCAGCTCATTTTTTGTGGTTTTAGTAGAGACGGGGTTTCACTATGTTGACGAGGATGGTCTCGATCTGTTGACTTCGTGATCCACCTGCCTCGGCCTCCCAAAGTGCTGGGATTACAGGCTTGAGCCACCGCGCCCGGCCTTGTTCTCATTATTTTTATGTTTTATGAGTAGTTCATGATAAGTCTATTTAGCTGATTTCCATATGTAATGTTTGGTTCTCTCTTTTTAGATAAAAATCGGATACATTTTTATTCCTAATAGAAGAATGTTATCTAGTCAGACTTCATTTATTTGAACTAAAGGCTAGTATTGATGCAGAGTTTTGCTCCTTAATTCAGCTAAATCCCAGTTCTTATTTCACAACCAGGAAGAATTAGGTATGCAGACACGGTGAAGAGTGAGGAAGCTGGAATTTTCAAGCGATAGGAAAGCTCTCAGCAGAGAGAGGGGTCCAGCAGGCAGGTTTCCGGCTCACAAATTGAATACCAGGGCTCCTACACATAAGCTGATGAGGCAAGACTCCTCCCCTGCATAAGATGCAAATTCCTAGTGGCTTCACCCCATTCCCCAGTGCGCTTGCAGGCATGCCCAGGCAAACCATAGGTGGTATAGGAAAAGGCAGCATTCGATTGGCTAAGACATTATTTGGAAAGAATCAATTAGGAAAGGTCGGGCACACAGGGGCACAAGTTTTTCTTCTGGGTCGTGGGTTTCATCCAGGATCAGCAGTCTGGTCTTTCAGCCTTCACGCTGTTGTAAGCCTGAAGGTGAGCTTTCACCAGGGACTTTCTCTATTTGCCTAGGCATTTGTCTGCCTCCTGCCTCTGTCAGTATGAATTAGTAGAAAAGAATATTATAGATTATTCCAACATTAGGGCAGTAATCAGAGTTTTAGACGCTGTTTTAGTGACTAAATAAAACTCTTTAGCATCTTATGGGTTAAAATACTTAAGAACAGGTCTTTTAAATCTTAGTCTGCATTTTTTCATCCATTTTTGCCTATTATGCTTTTCTGTAATTTAAAAGACAGATTTAAAAGATTACAAATCATTGGTATTGGTTGAAAGCGAATTAGAAATTAACATTGGGAAAGTCTGCAAAATGCCAAGAGAAGCAAAACAAAACAAAACAAAAAAACAGACATTATTAACAGTAGTATTTTTAAACATTTATTATAAAAAAGAGGAACTGGATTGACTTTAAAGGGGAAAGTTAAAATAAAATAAATTTTAAAAGTAACTGGAAATGTTCATATTATATATTTTCCCTTTTACTCAGTTTTTTTCATTTAATGCTCTTGATGTCATTTACATATTGAGTCTTTTTTGCTCTTTGGCTAGATCATTACTTGTTTTTGTTTTTGTTTTTGTTTTTTTCCACATTTACACCGGAATAACACATTCTCATAGATTTCTGAGAATGGAAATATAAACAAGTATATTGTTGGATTTTATTTATTTATGTTATACTCTTCAATTGTGAATTGACTTGACTTTACTTGTGTTTGGAGAGTTACTTAAGTCATCTGTGAGAATCTTGAAATTTTAATTTGTATTTTAAGCAGATATGTATCAAATTTGTGTTGTAATTTTACCACAGATAATTTGTTGCATTCTTTTTCTCCTATCCATTTTTGCATTGCCTGTAATGGATAGATCGAAATCCTGATGGTAAGTATAAAGATAATTTAGAAAAAAATGAATTTCAGAACTGAAATTTGGTTGATGAATTGAATTGATATATTACACCATGAATGAACTCTTCTTATGGGCTGTTATAGAGAAACTTCTTTAGGATGATACAGTGCCTTGATTCTGCTATGAAAAGCATAGTAGATATTTCCACAAAAAGCTGTCATTATTGGGTGTTTGAGTCATGAGAATGAATGAAATTAGGAGTAGGAAGAGAATGGCTTTTTTGAAAAATATTAAAGGTGTTATTGACCACTTATTTCTGCAAGTCATTGGTTATTTAGCTGCATGCTCTGTTATTTTACTTAAAGAAAGAGTTTTTAAAAAGGGTGTTTGTTACTGAATTCTAAATTGTGTTTTTCTACATGGCCCAAGAGCTTCACCTCTCTCTGATAAGAATAGTGTATGTATTTGATCTGTGGGCCTATTCCTTGTCTTGTTTAGAATTTGTACGGGAATGTTATCAAAGGTCTGACCTCCTCTAACTTGCTTGGGTCAGTGTTGTTACTCACTTTGTTTCCCCCAAATCTTTTGCTTCACTCTGCTATAATTCTGATCATAATATGAGCTTAATTAAGTTTGTTCCTGAGGTTCTCCACATAGGTGTTGAGCTTTTTGAGGGCAGGGATCAAGCACTCATCTTTGAATTGCATGCTAACAGAGTACATAGCAGGCACTACAAGTATCTCTGATTATTTTTCCTCTTAGATATAGACTAACTGTGGTAGTTTATCTTTACTGGTTATTTTAAGATACATTTTAATAGCAGTGTCAATTAGTAATAATTAAATAAATATAATGAAATTATTTAAAGGTAGTGGCAATATTTACTCATGCAGTTTGGATGATACCAACAACCTGAGTTGCACAGCACATGTCATCTTGATATCTGGAAAGTGAATATATATTTATATGAGAAGTATTTAAGAGAAGTAAATGTTTAGCTTAACAATATGTAGTATACTTGTCAAGTTAGAATTTGGATCATTAAAAATAACCTGATATTAATATTGAATATTTACATTTTAATTAGCTAGATTGCATGTAATTGTTAAGATTTTAGACTGAATTTTGTAAAATATCATATTATTATTTAAATGATTAGTTTTAAGTTTAAAAAAATCAAAGTTATTGTTGAAAGATATTTATTCCTTCTTACTGTAAATTGAGCCCAAACTATGAGGAAAAAACTCACAATTTATAGAAATTGTAGTGTTTCAATAAAAAGTGAAAGCTGGTTTTAATAATCTCTGATATATTTTTAAATTATAATTAAGCTTTAGGGAGTGCAGTTGAACTATTCAGCGGCACCTAGTAGGCAAGAAAATAATATGTTGCTACTTAGATCTTACCTACACACAAGGCTTCATATTTCAAAGACTGATCCATTTTATTGTCTTGATCTGTTCGGGCTGTATTGCAGATAAGTTGTTCTGCTTTTATATGTGGAAAAAGAGAGGCAAACGAGGTTTTATGTTGTCCCATAAGGGTTAGTCTCCATTATTTCTGCATTAAAGTTACATGACGTGGGCAGTGTAAAACATGACTGCAGATGAAGCACAGTACGTAGCCAGACATAACAGGAAGGGATCAAGGAATTTCTGGCTACCAGACATTGCTACTGCTTTGGGGTCCTTGTTTTCAATATGAAATTACTCTAGCAGGCCCCTGGAAAGAGTTCTAAAGGCATTATATAGATATGTAATATATAGGTATAGTTATTTTACTCATATATATATATATATATATATTTCTATGTTCTTTCTTCTTTCATCTTTTAATGCACATTTTGGCTTCCAGTATGACAGTGATACTGGGCTTTTGGGTGTGCCAGATGTAATTAGAAGTCTCTTCCTAGAAAAAAAATGTTCTGTTAGAACTAGTTTTGAGAGAATATTCTCTCTGAGTGTTAAATAATTTTGTGATTAATTGCTCCATAGTAGTTATGACTATCCATTTCCTCTAGTAGGTTAGGAAGGGAAGTGTTTGAAGGAGAGGTGATTATATCTGGTGAAAATAAAATGCAGAACAAAATCAGTCTGATGAATGAATAGGCTAATATTAGAGTAAAATAAATGACAAAAGTGTCTTTTCTCTCAACATAGCACTCAGAGAATTCAGTAAGACCCATATAGAGACTACTTTGCCAACTATATAGAGAAAATATTGCTGATGGTAGGCAAAGTTAGGACTAATTAGTCTCTTTCAACTAAGTTGAAAGCTGTTCTACTAGCAACTGTGAAAAGTCTTTAAATACATGTAATTCTTTTCCTTTTTTATTACAAACACATACACCCACACATGTCTCTATGAGTCTTTGGCTTCAGGATCTTAGACACAATTACAGCCTGAAGAGTAATTGGTAGCCAAATTTACACTTCAGGTTTCTTAAGAAGGTGTAAATCCCAGTAGAAGCGTGCCTCTGATAAACCTCATGTCTAAAAACTAGAGATTGTATTGTAAAATCCTTGGATTTTAATTTGATAGTAAGTGTTATAAAATAGTGACATTCTAATTTTTCTTTTAAGGAATGGTTTCCATAGACTGGTTTCTTAAAGATTTCATAACTCTTTTTTTTTCCCTAATGCTAAAACTTTTTGAGCTGCTATCATTTAAAAAATAGCCATAATCATTTTATTAAGTATGAGTGTCATCATTTTTCAAAGTAATGTTTTCCAAATGTGCTATGAAATAGGTTTATAATTCCTGCAGAGAAAAGATATTCTGGAGGGGTTCTACAAATCTTAGCAACTGCAAAACATTGCCCTCATGTGTGATATTGTCATTAACTGACCTAACTAAACTGTAAATTGAGTTATAATGTATTTTCCTTCTTGGCTTTATTAGTGCTTGCAATCCATTTGTTTCAATTTCTGAAAACTTATATACACTACCAGTTTCTGTAGTGCTGAGTTTTTGCAGATTTAGGGTAATAATCTTCAAATATATAGGCTCAGTCACTTAAAGGCAACGTTGTTGATTATGTTTTTATTTTTTTAACTGTGAATTTAATCGGTACCTGGTCCAAGTAAAGTAGTGGCTACAGTGTTAGCAGTATAGTTTTAGAGGAACATTCACAGTCAAATTTTGGTTTGAACAATTAGCTCAGAATTTGGTTAAAAGTATATAGAAGATAGTTTCTTTTTATGCACATACAGAATTTGTCAGAAGAGGAAGCATTTGTTTTTGTTGTACTAGTCATTAAAAATGAAGGAGATGGAAATAAGTTTCAGTTTCCTTGTTCTTTCCAGACCATATCTATTAATTGATACAATCTACAATTTTTTCTACAATTTACTTATTATAGAGGAAGCATGCTCAGTGGCTGTATTTCCATAATTTGAGGATATATAGAATATATGGAAATTTCCTTGAAGTTGGAGAAAGTAGTGCTTTGTAATTTTTTTGTAGTGATATTGATGGTTGTGGTTTGTGCAGTATCTTAGATCATGTTACTATAATATTTTGATTCAAAACATCTCATCATTGTAAAGTACAAATACACATGCCTCTAAAAGCCTCACAGAATGTCATGAAATAATACCCTGGGACTTTTCTTAGGAGACACCAGTTATAATTTGCATCTAGGATTCTAGGAGAAGTGAATTTAACATCTGTTGGTTATGAGCAAAAAATGAGCTATGTAAAACTTGATGGATAATAGATTATATTGAAGAGAATGACAAATATGCTCCACATGCTCTGAAAAAGTATTTAATTGACCTCATATATCAATGTTGGTGATTTCTCTCTATCCTAGTGAATAAGTAGTACTGAAAAGCATACTCCCTGCTTGGATATGGAGTAAGCCATACAATTCCAATTGAGTTTAGCAAAATATATTGCCAATTCCAGGGATCCTGCTTTGGGATCATGTCTCCAAAATAACTGCTTCTGCTTTTGCTATTTTTAAGCTGCTCATAGACTCCTCTATAAAGAAATAAAGGAATTAATGTGTGGATTCATCAAGTATAGTTAGAACATTTAGAGTTTTCAATTTTTTGACAGCAATATGGCACAACATAGGCTTTTTATAGGTTATCTTTTATCTTAACCAGTCCAAAACAGTGTTCTAGAAAAAAGGAGCGAAAACTAGGGTTTTAGTATTGCTTTTCTGGATAAATAGAGAGCCTAATTTTCTTTGGTTTTAATTTCATTTTCTGTAAAAATATTGAAAATGAATTTGAAAAATTTTATTAAAATTCTAGTATGAAAGTCTTCATGGTCATATATTGTTACCTATTTCAGTATGCATGTATGAGTATTAAAATAATTTGACAATGGAATGACTATGTAAGCCTTCCAAAATGTCACTCAAGGTGATATGTAAAGTTAAATGGCTTGAGAAAAATGTAATTCATATAAAGGCAATATTCTACATATTACTGTGTAAAATGTACATGGATTTCAATAGAACTTGAGCAAATCCTGCTTTCATGCTCATAATTTAAATCTTCATCAAGTAAAAAAAGCTAAAGATTTAAAATGTTTTTGAGTAGGGAAATTTTTAGATATGGTGATGTAGTCTTACTGATATGACAGAAACTTCATATTCTTTGCTCGTGTTTGCTGTTAGTCTTGGATTGGGGCTAGAGCTCTGCAGGTCTTAAAGACTTAGTAATTGAATGTAAGTAACTATAATATGTTATATAGTATCCAAATGTGATGATTTAAAAAATATGATACTACTATTAAAGATCTCATGTCTAGCCTTCTTTTAAAATTTTATTTTTGCCTTGTACCTTTGGAAAAATAGTAATGAAATATGAATCATGATAACAATTCACGGTTATTTTAGCTTTGTTAAACAAAGTAGGCAGGCAACAAACAAACCAAGATATTTTGCTGCTCAAACTATTATGAGTACAATTACTTTTTGCCAAATTATTTGTTAAGTCTATAAATCCACGTATCTCTCTTTTATTTCAGGTATTCCTCGAGTTATCCAATGTAAATTTAGACTTCCCCTAAAGTTAATTTGCCTACCAGGTCAGCCTTCAAAAACTGCAAGCCACAAAATTACTATTGATACCAACAAATCTCCAGTCAGTCTTCTTAGTCTCTTCCCAGGTAAGACTTTTGAAATAACATGCCTGCAGTATAAAAAATGCTAAGAATTTAGAATGGAATCCTTCATCAGCAGATAATGATGGGGTAATTATCAGATAATTGTTAAGTTAGAGTATAAAAATGCCTCAAGGATTTTTCCCTCCTTTGCCTGTTCAAAGGTGAATAGCTTATATTAACAAGGTAATAAGACGTTCCTTTTAAGTTTGATTAAAATTATTATAATCATTATTTTGCTACAGTATTCAGAAATAAAAACATAAAATGTTTCTCTTTAGACTGACTTTTTTTGACTTGGAATGTAAATATTTATTATTCATCTTTATTGTAGGTTTTTGGATATATCTGTCCTCTAAGTATGTAAATATTATTTATCTTCATTGTAGGCTTTTGTATATGTACCTTTTTAGAGTATATACTTATGTCTCTGAAAAGTAATCTCATAAGTAGATGCTTTTTGTGCTCTTTTATTCTGCTGCCTGCATCAGCTAGAGTGTGGGTAAATGTTCATCCTGTGCCTCTGGTTGTTTAGAATGGTTTTGTATCTAATGCTTCAATATCACAGTGAACATTTGGGGTAATTTGTGATGGTGTGACTTTCTTCAAGTGTCAATTTTTCTTTTTGAGTGGCTTAGAAAGTAAAGACGCTTTGATTGGATAAAACATCCTTAGTAACAAAGATTTTTAGTGTGTCATGTCATTAACTTTCTTGGTGGTGAGGTAGAATTGAAGAATAAAATCTGGGAATTAAATCAACCGTTTTAAGCCCTTTATTAAAAATTAGCACTGTTGGCTATGAGATGCATCTTCACCTTTGCATTAGTGGATAAGATTTAGGATACAAACAATACTTCCCCCAAGATTCAGAAATTTATGGTAAGTCAACTTTTGTGTTATTAACTAAAGTGATTAAAATTTATTTTTTATCAATTTGCAGTATTTCAAAAATTTATTTATATGTAACTCTGAAAAATCTCAAAAATTTAATATTTTATTATAATTATTCTAAAGTGTGAATTGAGTTTGGATATATATGTGTGTGTGTATATATATCCAATACATGTGTGTGTATACATATATGTGTGTGTATATATGTATATACGTTCATATATATATGTATGTGTGTATATATATTGTTAGCAAAATATTTTTTACTTTTTGGGTTCTTTCTTTCTCCCATCTCTTCTCTTCTTTAATCTCCTTATTTTTTAGTCAATTTCTCATAACAAGCTTGGATTCTGAAAAAGGCAGACTCACTACCTTTTGTAACATCTTGCACAAACTTATTAGTTTCTTGGGTCTCCTATACTACCTTAGGAACATAGTTGGAAATTATATGAATAACAGCAAATTTATTGGTGGCTTTGAAAAATGTTTAAGCACCTGACTTCTGAGGAACAGTTGATCTTTACTGTAGATAAATGGAACCCAGTTAGAGATTGAATAAAAACGAGTGCCTTTGAGCAGAAAGGTAATCTCCATGAGATATGATTTGGGTCATATGTACTAAAGAAAGCTTAGATGACTTATCCATTTTCCTCCTGATTTTGGGCTCAATTGTTTTGATGTCATTATGCTTATCAGCATGTATTTGCTTCTTACCCACTTTAGGAATGGGACACCGTGACAATTTTAAAAAATTTCTTCTGGGGTCCAATATATATGATATGGAGTGGTTTCTAAAAAAAAATTCCTGAATTTGTATTCATGTTAAACATACCGAATGGAATCATGTGCTTGTTTAAAACAAGTATCACTTCACTCTTACAAAAGTAAGACTGAGATAAAATTGCCATTGCAAATCTTCTATTTTTTTAACTGAAAAAAGCAAAATTAATGAGCTTTCTAGAGAAAATATATATAGAGAAGAAATAAAACAACTTTTACTCAACATGTCTTTCCATTTGTTTATTTCCAGTTCTCTTGCTGTGAACAAATATAGGTATAGTTAAAATAGCTTTAACTTTTCTTATTACAAAAGAAATGTGAGATTTAGAAAATGTGGGTAACCAAAAGGAAAAAAGTGAATGTTACTAGTAATTCTACCATCCAGCAATACCTTTTTGTGTTTCAGTATGTTTTTCTAATCTTTAAAGAAGTACTTTTTCTAAGCATTTATCCCCAAAAAGAAAAATTTTACTTGCCATATTGTTTTTTTGAGACATCTTTTTACGTCATTAGATATTTTTGTTATATGATGTTAATGATTACATAGTATTCTGTCATAAATCCATACTATAAAATCATTTGACCAGCATTATGCTTTTAGATATACATGTCGTTTTTAGTTTATTAATATTATAAATACACCTGTGATGAATATTGTTGTAACAATACTCCTTTAAATTTATTACAGTTTATTTGCTGAATATTTAAAAGTGAAATTGCTGGGTCAAAGAAGGAATCAGGATGTTTTTAAAGCTTCTGAAATACAGTGTGAAATTGACTTCCTGAAGGAATACCAGTTAACCCTAACAAGAATGTTTGAATAAAGGTGTCTAATACCCAAATCCTTGCCAATAGAGAATATTATAATTATAAAAACCTTTTAATATGCTTAATAGTTATATAGAAAAACATTTATTTACATATATAAATAGCTATCTGGGGTGCTTCTGGCACCCCAGAAAAGTGAATTAAGCAATGAAAACATTTTTGGGACAGTCTCATTCTGTCATTTAGGTTGGAGTGCAGTGGCATGATCATGGCTTACTGCAGCCTCTACCTCCTGGGCTCAAGCAATTCTTTCACTTACCCTTGAGAGTAGCTGAGACTACAGGCATGTACCACCATGCCTAGCTAATTAAAAAACATTATTTGTAGAGATAGAGTCAAACTATGTTGCCCAAGCTGGTTTTGAACTCCTAGGCTCAAGTGGTCTTCCCATCTTGGCCTCCTAAAGTGTTGGGATTACAGGCATGAGCTACTGCGCCTGGCCAAAGTATTTCTTTATCTCACATAAAGAGAAATCCAGAAGTGGACAGTGGAAGCTGTGGCAGTTGTTCATGACTGTTATCAAAGGCCTAGCATTTTTTCTGTCTTTGTAATCTGCCATCTTTAGTGTGTTGACCTGTTCCATGGCAATAAGATATTTGCTTCAGCTTCAGACATCATATCTGATTACAAGGTAGGAGGTAGGGGGAAGAAATAGCTATATAGTGATGTTAACTTTTATCAGAAAAGCATGTTTTCAAAAGATACCCTGGGAAATTCAATAGCCATAATTTTGTCACATGGCTTCCTCTAGCAGTAAAAGAGGCTGCGAACTAAATGGGCTAGGGAAAAGGGGGCTGGGAACATAGGTTAAATTACCTGACCATCAATGTGTGTCGTGATATCAGTAGTTTTGGACAAAAATTTTACTTAAATATAATTAACAGGTAAAATGTCATTTGATAATAGTATTTTATGTTGCTCAAGTATATTTCTACATTTGCTTGTCAATATATTCATATTTTTCTGGTTACATAATATTCCATTATTTGAAGTTGTCATGTACATACAGTTTTTTTGTACGTCTCTATTTCTCTTAGGAGAAATTCTTTGGAGACAAATGCTTGAGTTAATGGGTATGAATATTTGAAATCTTTATTCAAATACCAGCTGCCTTCCAGAAAAGTTATATCAGGTTATACTTCCAGCATCAAGGTTCATGCCCATGATAGCAGCTGGATTCATTAAGTCTTTAAAAATTTTTGACATTATTAGGTAAAAAATGACATTTCATTTTTAACTTGCTTTTCTAAATTACTTGTTAGCATAGTTACAATTTTTCTTAACGACTTGCATTTCTTCTTTTAATTCTTTCTTTTAAGGTTTATATTTTTAGGGGTGTGTGTGTGTGTGTGTGTGTGTGTGTGTGTGTTTCAGTGGTTTAATCTGGATCACAACCACAAGCTGAGTATTTGGTTATGTGGGTTTGAGGCTAGAATTGACATTGCATAGATAACCTGAAACATCTCAAAATGAGTAGTTTTACTTTTAAATGGCTCCAGGTTTGTAGTGATCACAGGAACCTGGAAGTAGCAAAATTAAATGCTTTGTGAGTTTAATTGTTAAGTATTCGTTTTGAGGAATGTGGTATTTTACTTAATTTGATATATATAAGCTATAACCAAAAGGTAAATAAAAACATCTGTAAAAATTTAGCAAAGAAAATTATTTCAGATGTGGATGTTGTAAAAGTATTTGCCTCAATTTTGATGACAGTTTTGAATATGCAAGGAAGAAAATTTTAAAAGAATTGAGGGAAATAGCATGAGAAATATAATTATGTTTATCAAATTAATCATCCAAAAAATGGGGCCTAAATTATCTTTAGAGCCTTTCTCTAATTTCATGTTGAGTTGATTTGGGAGAGGAATATCCCACATCTAGGTAGTAAAATTTCTTAATTGCTTTCCTCATAGTTTCAGGTTTTCATGTTATGCTAGGAATGATCTCTATTCTAAGATTATAAAATATTTACTTATTTTTTCTGGTACATTTTTATGCTTGTTTTATTTGCAAACAGCTTCAATGAATATTTTTATGCCTTTTATAAAGCTTATTTGAAGTATAAGTTTTGTACAATAAATTACACATTGAAACATATAATTTTGAAAAGTTTTGATTTCTGTATTTATCTGTGCAACCATCTCAACAGTTAAGATGCTGAACATATCTATCACTGCCAAAAGTTTCCTTTTGCCTATTAGTAATCCCTTATCTCGTATCCCAAGCAACTACTGATCTGGTTTCTGTTATAGAGATTAACTTGCATTTTCTAGAATTTTATAAAATGGAACTATTACAGTATGTGTTCTTTTTCATCTGTCTTCTTTCACTCCTTTATTTGATATGTGATTTGCAAATAATTTCTCCCAGTCTGAAGGATGTATTTTCATTTTCTTAACAGAATCTTTGGAAAAGCAGTTCTTAATCTTGATAAATGCCAGTTTATCAATTTCTTAATGAATCATTATTTTACTGTTATATCTAAGAAATCTTTCCTAATCCAAGGTTACAAAGTTTCTCTCTCTTTTTTTGGTAGAAGTTTTCTAGTTTTAAACTTTACATTTAAGTGTCTTCTCATTTTGTGCTGATATTTACGTGTGGTGTGAGGTATGGGTGAAATTCATGTTGTGCATCTGGGTGTCTAATTGTTACAGCATTATTTTTCAAAGACTGTCCTTTTCCACTGAATTGACCTTTCAACTTTGTTGAAAATCATCTGACCACACTTATGTGGGTGTATTTCTGTTTTCTTAATTTTGTTCCATTGATCTCTTTGTCTATTGCTATACACCAATAACATTGTGTTTTGATCACTGTAAATTTGTATATAAGTCTTAAAGTCAAGCAGTGTAATTTCTCCAACTTTATTCTCAAAGTTGTTTTGGAGATTTTAGGTCCTTTGCATTTTCATATGAATCTTAGAATCAGCTTGTAAATTAAACAAAACTGGCTGTTGGGATTTTGATTGGAATTGGGATTATATCGATTCCATAAATCAATTTGGAGAGAATTGATATCTTAACAATATTGAACATGGTATAAATTTCTCTCTTTATTCTGGTTTCTTAAGATGAAAGTGCAAACTGTCTTTCATTTATTTACAGCCTATTTTGTTTCTCTCTGTGAGGGTTTGTACTTTTTCATGTATAGGTTTTACACATCTTTTGTCAGAATATCCCTATTTCACTTATTTTTATGCTATTGTGTTTTATTTCAATTTCAAATTGTTCTTTGCTAGTAAACAGAAATACAATTGGTTTTCCTTTCTTTTGAGATGAAGTCTCACTGTGTTGTCCAAGCTGGAGTGCAGTCATGTGTTCTTGGCTCACTACAACCTCTGCCTCCTGGGTTCAAGCAATTCTCCTGTTTCAGCCTCCCATGTAGCTGGGACTACAAGCATACGCTACCATGCCTGGCTAATTTTTGTATTTTTAGTAGAGACAATATTTTACCATATTGGTTAGGCTGGTCTCGAACTCCTGACCTCAGGTGATCCGCCCTCCTCAACCTCCCAAAGTGCTGGGATTACAGGTGTGAGCCACCATGCTTAGCTACAGTTGATATTCTTATATCAATCTTTTATCATGCAATATTGTTAAATCACTTGTGGGACTTTATTAACTTTTTTGTAGATTTAATCAGTCAGTGTTCTATATAGCTGATCATCTTATGTGTAAATGAAAACAGTTTTACTTCTTTCTTTCCAATCTGGATTGTTTGTTTTTGCTTGCTTTTTGCCTTGGCTAGAACTTCTGGGACAATGTTGAATATAAATGGTAAGAACAGACATTGTCTTTCACTATTAAGTATGTTTTAGCTATAAGCAGTTTTTAGATTTTTTTTTAACAGGGTGAGGAAGTTGCCTTCTATTCCTAGGTTGCTGAGATTTTAATAAGGAGTGGATATTGCATTTTTTTTTCAAGACTACTTCTACATCAACTGGGACATTCTTATCATTTTCTTCTTTATTTGGTTAAATATGGTAAATTACATTGATTAATTTTTAATGTTAGAACAGCCGTGCATTCTTGAGATAAATTATAAATGGTCATGAAGCATTATCTTTTCACTATATCTTTAGATTTAATTTGCCAAACTATATTTTAGAATTTTTATTTCTAAGTTCATAAGAGAAATTGATCTGTAATTTAGTTTTTTTTTCCATAGTTATGTGACTAATTTTTACTCCGTTCAACATTTTACGTTTTGATGTTATGAGTTTCTTATATCTGGATATTTCCACTTTTCTCCAGATTTGGAAGTTTTGCTCTTATTGTTTCTCTTGATACTGTTCCATAAGTCTTGCAGGCTTTCTTCTTTCCTTTCATTCTACCACCCCACCCCCGTATTCTCTAATAATCTGACTTTGAGTTCACAGATTCTTTCTTCTGCTTGATCAGTTCTACTTTTGATGTCCTCCCTCCCTCCCTCCCTCCCTCCCTTCCTTCCTTCCTTCCTTCCCTCCTTCCCTCCCTCCCTCCCTCCCTCCCTTCCTCCTTCCCTCTCTCCCTCCTTCCCTCCCTTCCTCCTTCCCTCTCTCCCTCCTTCCCTCCCTTCCTCCTTCCCTCTCTCCCTTCTGTCCATCTTGCTCTCTCATCCAGACTGGAGTACAGTGGCATTATTATGGCTAATTGTAGCCTTGACATCCTGGGCTCAAGCAATCCTCTGACCTCAGCCTCCCAAGTAGCTGGAACTACAGGTGCATACCACCACACTTGGCTAATTTTCTTATTTTTTGTAGAGATAAGGTTTCACTTTGTTGCTCAGGCTAATCTTGAACTCCTGGGCTCAAGTGATCTGCCCATCTCGGCCTCCCAAAGTGCTAGGATTACTGGTGTGAGCCATGGTGCTCAGACGTTTTCATTTCATTCATTGTATTTTTTCAGCTCCAAAATTTGTTATTCTTCTAAGTTTTTTGAACTGTTTCTCTCTCTTTTCTTTTTTCTGGCTTACAAAGCTTCCTGAAAACAATTCTTTTGAATTCTTTGTTAACTTGTAGGTGTCCATTTCTTTGGGGTCAGCCACTGGGAAATTATTGTGTTCTTTTGGTAGGGATATGTCTCCTTTGTTTTTCATGTTTCTTGTTGCCATACTTTGATGCCTGCACATTTGGTGGATCAGCCTCCTCTTTCCAACTTCGTGTGCTGATTTTGGTATGGAAAGACCTTCTTTGGGACGGTCAAGGCTGCTGGCAGTACGAGGTGTAGAGGTCCTGGCCCTGGCAAGGGCATAACAATGTAGACTGTGTGCAGCTCTCTTAGCTGTGGTTGGTGTTGGTAAAGATTGCAGGTATCCTCAGTTGCCAACTCTGTGAGTGTTCTCAGTGATAGTGAGGGCTGTTGGGATCTTTAGTGGCAGTGGATACTAGGGTACTTCCAATCTCTTTCTCTTCCACCAGGGAAATCATGGCCAAGGGGATCCCCCTTGGCACTCTGACTGGCATGTGGGCCAGTTTCCAGTGCCTGGTGAGTGGCACCTATGGAAATGCCATGGAGCCAAGTCCTGAAGCATGAGCATGTGTAAAAGGACTTTGGCTCTGGGCTTTGGGTGGTAAAGGCACCAGTACCCAGAGCACAGGAACCCCCATTACTCTGTTGGTAATGGTATGTGAGGCATTAGTGTTTATGAAACAGCTGAGGAGCCCAAGATGGGAGCATGGATTTTGTTACTGTAGCTCTAGGGTATAGAATGGGGCCTTGTTGTCTATGGCAGGTGATGTAATGACTGAACCACCGGAACACGCAGAGGGACCTTAGTTCTAGGACCTTGGGTGTGAGCTGGCTCACTATGGTGGTAGCTCTGGTAGCTGAGACGTGGTTGGGCATAGTGCAGCCACAGAGCCAGTGTCTGAAGTATGCACATTCCTGAATGTGGCCTGGGGGTTAGGGGAATGTGCAAGGTCTGGAGAGGTGGTGGTTTTGGTCCTGGGGTGGTACAACAGCAACTACTTCTTGAGCAAGGGAATGTAGGGCCATGACTTCCTCTCTGGGGTTCCCTGGTAAAAATGGCTGTTGGTTACCTCAGTGGCGTAAGATGCTGGTGTTTTCTGTGGAGCAGGCTGCTGGGAACCATGCAAGTTCCCACTCCATGGCTGTCACCAATAGCCTGTTGCCTTTATTCTTTGTCACTAGCCATTCGTAGGCACCTTAGGTATGCTGATACAACCAGCCATTTGTTCTGTATTGCTGGAGCTTCTTAAATGGGCCCTTGAGCTCTCACAGGACTATTCTGGTTTTTAAATAGCTGTCTTTCTCTCACTCTATTTTTTGCCAGGGATAAAGACTGGCGTCCCCTACTTTACCATCTTGGTGACATCCTTTACCACTGCGATGATGTTTAATATTTCTTTTGTCTGTTAAGTTGTTTGTAAATTGGATCTAGAGCTAGTAGAGTCAAGACTGATTATTTTGACCAGATTTCTTCATGGGTGGTAGTATAGACTTTCAGCAGAGGGTACATAATATTTGTCTTCTTTTGTGTGTGATGGTAACAGCCATTGGTATTCAATGCTGAGATCCATTAGTTCACTATAGGCTGAAAAATAGATATTCTATTGCTTTCATACTTTCTTCATTTTTTAGCTGGAATATTTCTATACAGAGAACATTTACTTTAACTAATAGTGGTTATATGGTGCAGTATGAGTAGGGTTTTCAGGATAAATGCTTGGTTCTTTCCCTTAATTACTGTTTTAAACATTTTTTTAAATAGAGTTTAAAATAGATAATGTCAATTCTCTAGGATCCTTCAATAGTGACTATTTGTTGTTATTTTGTTTTTAAGTCTCTGTATGAACTCATGCCTTTAAACATATTTGATGTGTTTTACTCCATTGCAATTATTATTGTCCTTTATACCCAAATATTTTTATCTCTGGTCGATAGTAGTCTCTTTAAGCTGTCTTTCAAGTCCTTTTTATAAAACGCTACTGGTTTGCTGATAGCTTCCTTGCTATCTGGTGTGAAAAGATATTCTAGGCTCATCTTGTGCGTATTCTGTCTCATATTTGGAATCAACCATTAGAACAAATGAAATTAAATGATTCCAGAGTTTTATTGTAAGGCAGAAGTTTCATTAATTGGAGGCTACTATGGAAATCAAAGTTAATATATTATAGTTCACACATGGAGTTTATACGTGACTAGTGACATAGAAAACACCCATCATTCAACTAAGGTTACTATTTCAAATATGTTGATTTTGCCTTCTGGTTACATAAGGTGATTTCTCTCTTTTCTTTATAGGCTTTGCCAGTCAGTCAGATGATGATCAGGTGAATGTAATGGGTTTTCACTTCTTAGGAGGTTCCCGAGTTACTCTTCTTGCTTCCAAAACTTCTCGTAAGTAAAACCATGCTATTACTGCTTTTTAAATTTTTTTCTAAGGCTACTACATTACAGAGCATCCTCACATCAATGACTCCTGCAAAGCACAATGTTCAGTTAGATTTCAGTAAATAAAAGCCATATTAAGTATATAGGATGTAAAAGTTGTGAAGTTAGGATTGTGTTTTATTAGAGAACACTGATGTTGCCATGATTACTTTACCATGATCTAAATTTCACCAAAAATCAGATATGTCACTGATATGTTCACTTTATCTGAGTGTATGTAATTTTGGTCTTGGAGCTAAGGAAAGTCTGAGAGAGGAATTTAAAGAAATGAAAAATATTTTTGAGGTAGGTATATGGTGAACTAGGTTTGGGAACTCCTAAAATCTGGAATTTTTTTGTTTGCATATATTCTTATTTATTCCTTTTAGACATTGGCAAAGATGACAGTGAAAGTAGATAACTTTTGCTCAGTGTAATTTCAATAGGCAGAAAGGTAGTAACTATATAGTCAAGTTTGCATTTAAATACGCTTTATTGATTTGGTTGCTATATGTATGTGAGAATAATTGTTGAAACTAGCCAATGTAAAACTGGCTCTTGAAGTTTATGGTATACTGAAGCTACAGAACTCACTGAGTTATACACATCTTCATGGAAATAAAGAAAGATATTAAGAAAGGAAGTGTTTAACAAATTTGTGTTGAGGGGAAAAAGTACACACACACACACACACACACACACACACACACACACACACACACACGCAGCCTTCACATAATCTGACTCAGGATGTTCCAATTTTAAACTGTAGTTTTTCTGTGAGCTTGCACTTTCCACCCATGTACTTGCAGTTGTAGTTGGTTATTACTTTTCTAATAATAAGAGTACAATAAGGCCATCGGTTTTTGAAAAAGAAAGATATTAGCAGGAGGAACAGACATTCCATTTAGAAACTCTAACAATGTTTTTATGGCTAAAACAATAGTTTCTGGAATATGTCAATTGGTGACTGGTAAAATAGACTTGAATACTACTGAAGACTGTAATAGGTCACAGAAATAAAAAACAACTCTGAGAAGAAAGAGAAGATTCTTTATTTTTTTTTTTTTTTTTTTTTTTTTTTTTTTTTTTTTGCGATTGGTCATGATTGCAGTATTCTTTACATTGGCACCATCTTTTTAAAAAAACAAATCATTTTATTTTGATAAGAAGACTTAACCTGAAATCTACCCACTTAACAAAATTTCAGATGTATAGTACAATATTGCTAACTGTAAGTACATAGCACCATTTTGCTTTGATTAGCTTTAATCTCCGTTTGGATGGTAGAACCATTTTGGTGCATTTCTCTTAGTTTAACAATTCTCCATAGTTAAACTAAAAAAGTTATGCTAATATTTCTTGGGGAAATTGTACCCATTTGTTTGACTGCAGTTAATGGTGCTGTATAATGAATCTGCAACTGAGACCATTAAAAAAGGCAAAAATTTATACAAATAAATATATTTATATCCTAATGTATTTTATTTATAACTTTTAATAGAAGTAACAAGTAGAACACTGATATTGCCCATGATTACCTTACCACTATCTAAATTTTACCAAAATCAAGTATATAGCTGATTTATTTTCTTTATCTGAATGTATGGCAATTCTCTGACTTAACCATAGTGTTAGGTAGACAAAATCAAATAATGGAATAGGACAGGACCTTTTAAACAAGGAGCCAAGTGAACTGTATAAATTGATACCTGAATAATAGCCATTATGATTCTATGATGGTTTTTGGCTTCAGTGACACACAGAATCCTACCTAGGAGTTGCCTTTGATGATGGAGAGAGATAGATATAATGAGAGTATGCTTTTCTGGGGTTGAGGCAGATGTTAGTGCTCCTATTGCTTTATCAGAGTATTCATTCCTAAGAAAGGAATGAAGTAATTTGTATCCAACCTGTGTTTGACATTTTTCATTTTCTGAGAGATACCTAGTATTAATTTATATATAGTCCAGAATCTGATTTACAAAAAAATCTTACAACTGGAAAGAACCTAGTATTTCTTCCATAGTAAACAGTCAAATGATCATAACCCAAATAGAATTGTCCTGGGCTCTTGTATAGTATTTTCTGTGGGTTCCACATATTCATCTCTTTTTAAAACTTGCTTGGTAATCAACCAAGGCTTCATGTGTGCTGTATGGCAATTTTAGTTCATTTTTCTGATTCAGTATAGACCAGTAAAAGCAGACAAGAGAAAAGTAAAGTATAGCTCATTGTCTCAGATACCAAACCACATTCCCTGGGGAACTGAGTAGGATTTTATTTTTATAAAGCAGAATACTAGCTGCGGGTAGTGGCTTACACCTGTAATCCTAACACTTTGGGAGGCCAAGTTGGGAGGATAAGTTGAGCCTAGGAGATTGAGGCCAGTCTGGGCAACATAGTGAGGCCTATTCTCTACTTAAAAAAAAATTCGCTGGGTATGGTGGCACATGACTGTAGTCCAGCTACTCTGGAAGGTGAAGTGGGAGGTTGAGCCCAGGAGGTTGAGGCTACAGTGAGCTGAGATTCCATGTACTGCACTCCAGCCTGCACAACAGAGTGAGACCCTGTTTTAAAAAAAAAAAAAAAAAAGGAAAGTAGTGCTTCAGTTTGGGAAAAATATGCTAGCAACATTTCTGAAAACTGTTATCACAGTCCTAAATTGAAAATAACAGGGCAGGCAGTTCTAATTTTCTAAGATAAATGTTTTTATAATTAATATTGCAAAATATTTCTACATGGATGTCTATAATATCGAGTGATTCAGTATAATGAGATTTCAGAAGAAATATGCTCTTACCTAAATATGTATATATTCTTACGCTGCTTTCCTAAGATCCAGATCCACATAGTGACTTATTACCGTATACATCAAACACTGCTACCTCTCTCTTCCCAATCTCTCTTGTCCCTTTCTGCTTCTATATTTTTCTTGGTTTTGCCTATCTCAATATCTGTTTTTATCTTTTTATTTTATTTTTTATTTTTTAATTTATTTTATTACATTTTAGGTTTTGGGGTACATGTGAAGAACATGCAAGATTGTTGCATAGGTACACAAGTGGCAGTGTGATTTGCTGCCTTCCTCCCCATCACCTATATCTGGCATTTCTCCCCATGTTATCTCTTCCCAACTCCCCACCCCCCGCTAATCCTCCCCTATTTCCCCCCAACAGACCCAGTGTGTAGTGTTGCCCTCCCTGTGTCCATGTGTTCTCATTGTTCAACACCCGCCTATGAGTGAGAACATGCGGTGTTTGATCTTTTGCTCTTGTGTCAGTTTGCTGAGAATGATGGTTTCCAGGTTCATCCATGTCCCTACAAAGGAGACAAACTCATCGTTTTTGATGGCTGCATAATATTCCATGGTGTATTTGTGCCCCATTTTCCCTGTCCAGTCTATCATCGATGGGCATTTGGGTTGGTTCCAGGTCTTTGCTATTGTAAACAGTGCTGCAATGAACATTAGTGTGCATGTGTCCTTAGAGTAGAATGATTTATAATCCTTTGGATTTAATCCTTGAGGAATCGCCACACTGTCTTCCACAATGGTTGAACTAATTTACACTCCCACCAACAGTGTAAAAGTGTTCCTATTTCTCCACATCCTCTCCAGCATCTGTTGTCTCCAGATTTTTTAATGATTACCATTGTAACTGGCGTGAAATGGTATCTCAATGTAGTTTTGATTTGCATTTCTCTGATGACCAGTGATGATGAGCATTTTTTCATATGTTTGTTGGCCTCATGTATGTCTTCTTTTGTAAAGTATCTGTTCATATCCTTTGCCCACTTTTGAATGGGCTTGTTTGTTTTTTTCTTGTAAATGTGTTTTAGTTCTTTGTAAATTCCGGATATCAGCCCTTTGTCAGATGCGTAGACTGCAAAATTTTTTTCCCATTCTGTTGGTTGCCGATTCACTCTAATGACTGTTTCTTTTGCCATGCAGAAGCTGTGGAATTTGATTAAGTCCCATTTGTCTATTTTGGCTTTTGTTGCCAATGGTTTTGGTGTTTTGGTCATGAAGTCCTTTGTCCTGAATGGTTTTGCCTAGATTTTCTTCTAGGGTTTTTATGGTGTTAGGTCTTATAAGTCTTTAATCCATCTGGAGTTAATTTTAGTGTAAGGTGTCAGGAAGGGGTCCAGTTTCTGCTTTCTGCACATGGCTAGCCAGTTTTCCCAACACCATTTATTAAACAGGGAATCCTTTCCCCATTGCTTGTTTTTGTCAAGTTTGTCAAAGATCGGATCGTTGTAGATATGTTGTGTTGCCTCCGAGACCTCTGTTCTGTTCCATTGGTCTATATCTCTGTTTTGGTATCAGTACCATGCTGTTTTGATTACTGTAGACTTGTAGTATAGTTTGAAGTCTGGTAGTGTGATGCCTCCCGCTTTGTTCTTTTTGCTTAGAATCGACTTGGCTATGTGGGCTGTGTTTTGGTTCCATATGAAGTTTAAGGTAATTTTTTTCCAGTTCTGTGAAGAAGGTCATTGGTAGATTGATGAGGATAGTGTTGCATCTGTAAATTACTTTGGGTAGTATGGCCATTTTCACGATATTGATTCTTCCTAACCATGAACATGGAATGTTTCTCCATCTGTTTGTGTCCTCTCTTATTTCGTTTAACAGTGGCTTGTAGCTCTCCTTGAAATGGTCCTTTACGTTCCTTGTTAGTTGTGTTCCTAGGTATTTTATTCTCTTCGTGGCAATTGTGAATGGAAGTTTGTTCTTGATTTGGCTCTCTTTAAGTCTGTTATTGGTGTATATGAATGCATGTGATTTTTGCACATTGATTTTGTATCCTGAGACTTTGCTGAAGTTGCTTATCAGTTTCAGGAGATTTTGGGCTGAGACTATGGGGTCTTTTAGATATACACTCATGTCGTCTGCAAATAGAGACAGTTTTACTTCCTCCTTTCCTATTTGAATACCCTTTATTTCTTTTTCTTGCCTGATTGCTCTG